GATGATGAAAACAGTGAAGTTGAAGCCACTGGAGTACAACTGATGTAGAATTTGGTATTGGCTTCTCAATATCGAAGACCTTTGGGATCATTATCTCAAGTAGGATGGACATTTTCGCAGTGATTGGAACCAGCAACTGGAGACGTACCTTCCAACTCCAAGGTGTTGTTTCAGATGTGAGTTTCAGAACGGGATTCCAATGGATGCTAATCCCGGATGGGACCCATCATGGACCAACAGGGGGTTTAACACTCTGAAGCTTATGAGTGAAGACGTCGGTTAAGATCTGGCAAAATCTCTTGCAACCTGAAGCAGTGATTAGTTTGGATGCCATCCTACATGGCTCGAAAACTTGCAGGTAGTAGGGTTATACCAACCTCATTCAAACAGATAACATGTAGTTCATTCAAACCGTTACCCAGCTATCATCCAAACTACAGGAACCAACGAAAGTCACATGCAACAGTGAATTGCACATTCCATGGTTAATCTGCCACCGGTATTACGTCGATGGGCAACCAATCTGATTGCTTATTCTTAACCCGTGAGCTGGGGATGGGCATCCATTGATGATTGAATAGATCACCAAGACCTAAACCGGGGTTTCCCTGGCAGAAATGTTGCATATGTATGGAAAGCCAGCCTTTTATAGATCAGGGAAGCACGGGTCCTGCATATCAACGTAAGCGTCAAACAGCAGCCTGGATGAACCAGTGGATTTAGGGCCGTTTTGAACAAGCCCACATCCTGACTGGTTGGTGGTATACCTACCCCTCTGAAAAATATGACAGCTCGTCAGTTGGGATGATTATTCCCAACTGAATGGAAAAATAACAAACGTTCCAAACCACCAACCAGCTGAATGATGTAAGATCTTCGATTGCAGCAATGTCCACCGCTTTTGATTTGTCAACCCCGAGGTTGCCGTGATCGGCGTGGTTGTCGTCGTACGCGGTTGTCGTGGTTACAGATGCTGTTGGGTCATTGCTGTCGCTATTTTACTTGTTGCACCGCTCTGTTTTCTATTGTTTATATTATTTGGGCGCATCCTGGTCAGTTGTGGTGATTGTGCCGCTGTTGTTGTGGGACGCAAGTCAGGCTAAACTCAAGGCTTGCTCGGGAACTACTTGTAGTGGCCATTGTGATTTTCAAAATCCACAACACGTAAGTTAGACTTTCAAACTTCCTTTGATTATCTGAGGCTGCGGCCGTACCCAGCAGGCTTCTGCAGCGTCGGGTGCTGGTTCTGTTGTTGCTGGTTGTCTTCTTGCAGCCTCCTGTGTTGTCTGGTGATCTTGTTTGCGGCCTGGTCAATGGTGAGCCAGGATGGCTCGCTTTCAAAGGCGGGCACAGTCTGCCGCTCCACTTCACATCGGCCTCCGGCACCACGACCCAGTCGGCTCCTCCAAAGGTTTGTCCACAGACAAGTAGAATCCTCTCAAGTCAAGGCGTCTCTTCTCCATTTCCTCGAAATCTCACGATATCGCCACATTTAGGGCTAACATGAGGATGCGAGCGGATGACTTTCCGGATAAAGACCCCCAACAAACCCATTGAACATCATTAATGTGGGTAAAACCATAATAAACCATCCATTTGGGAATGGTAAACATACCACCTATTATTGGAATTGTCCACCCCATGGTTTCAAAACACCGCCCTCCAAAGCCAACGCTGCACCTGCCCCGATGATTGCAGTCTTCCGGGCAGCTCGGAGGGGCGATACTCTGCTGCTCCGGGCTGTCCAGCACAGTCAGGTCCTGGCGGGACTTACCACCTTGGAGATAGCCTCAATGGGAAATGCCTTACAATCAATGGCAATTTCAGGTACCTTTTTTATTGGACCTACCGTGTTTTTCAGGCCCAAGGGAAAACCCTCAGAAAATATGGCCGAATTCTATGGTATAAATCGAGGTTGAGCGCTAAAAACGCCATCGAAAAAATGTGGATTCTCCAGCCACGTTTGATGACACCGGAAGGGTATGAAGCTATGATAAACCACCAAGCAGATGCAGAAAAGCTTCAATAAACATCTCTATCTCAAGATTAGATTTTACTTTTCCATTTTTTTGGGGTTGCGGAAAAAACATAACTTGGGATGTATTTGACAGAACAAAATGGGGATATATGTAACCAAACATATGATATCAGCTTACAATCGGAAACGGTCATCGTTTTCCATACTTTATTGTTATTTGAAGGAGGACTTGTGGGTAAACCGCTTGGGGCACCTAATTTTCAGGCTCATGTGGATGGGGCTGTCTTGGGCCTGGGTATCCCGAATAGCTTTCAGTTTTGCTGTCCCCCAAGAGCTTTTTGGCTGTGACACTCGTTTTGACAACACGTTCGGTTCTTGATCTATCGGCCGCTATGGCTTGATACATGCATCTTTGCAGTTAGAGACCATTGCCAGTGTCGGAAAAACGGCATCTTAGAATCCCATCCCTATCTACTCATATTTTTGGTTAAATTGCACATTTTTTGGTTCCTCAGCATGTTTCATGCTGTGCAGGCATCATCTTGACCAGTACTCCATGCCAAGCGTCACTTCTAGGCGACCTGTCCCCGAAGCCCACGATCGCGCCATTGAATATCACCACTAGCGCCATTTTTGTTGCTTAAATCCACATTTTCACTGGTTAAGTGACCAGGACCCTAGTGGCTATATCACTATTATACACCATGATTGTCCCATTCACCAGCACTCAATCACCATTTTTGATATAATTCAGCACCAATGAATCACCATGTTTGATGGTTAAGTCACCACGAAATCATCATTTTTGATGCTTAAGTCACCTTTACATCCAAGTTTCTGGGGTCCGCCATCGCTCCTCCTTGGCGGGCACTGGATCGGCGCAGCTGTCACCGCGATAGCCGGCACTGCCTGCGATGCTGGTGAGGTCTTACTGTTGGTCAAAACATGCAACAAAAAATGAAGTTTAACACCAAAATTACGAGGAACAAGACCAACGAATCAAAAGGCTTTTGGGGATACCCAATTTTCAGACAAAACCATGTTCTTTGAACCTGGTGTTTGACCAACTAAACTCCTTCATTTGCTGTAATACATCCACGTTGGCTTTGGGGGCTGAAGCGGCCGAAAATGGACCAGTGATAGGCATATCTCGTGTATCGACAGGTTCTGCTGAATTGGGATATCGGGGCAATACAACCACCACCACCAACAAGAAGAAGAAGAAGAAGGAGGAAGAAGAAGAAGGCAAACCTCGAACACCATCTGGTTGGTGGTTGACCTACCCCTCTGAAAAATATGAGTTTGTCAGTTGGGATGATGAAATTCCCAATATATGGAAAAACATGTTCCCAACCACCAACCAGCCATGATAGTCCACTTTCCAATTTATGGCCAGAATATGAATCACCAAAACAACATGCTCCAAATCGATGGATGACTAATTCAAAAAAAAATCCGGTGTCATCAAACATGGCAAGTGGTTTTAGCCCACAACGAAATGGTGGTTGTCCACATCAACACAGGAATCAAACCATTGGAACATTAGGGATTTAACCAAGGACGGCCTCAAGTTTGGGATGAAAATCATCAATTTTTGGAATGCAATTTGACATAACCATAAGTAATCCCTTCCCCAAATGCGACCCACCAAACGAAAGCCAAACAAATAGCTGGGACAAAATTGGATCAATTCATTTCGTCCTCAAACTTGGAAAATTTTCAGTTGGTATCTTAGTAATTGATCATTGGGGACCATCCCGGTTGAAACCATCAGCTTTCGCATCATGACTTCGAGCCAAGAAAACTTCCTTCCCATTCGAGCCATGCTGAACGGATCAAAATCACCAGACTCCGTGCCGAGCCACAAACACATTTGCCGCTGTCGCAGTATCCATGGTCACTGCAGTCATCTTTGCAACGGTGGAACTCACCTGGGAGTCGAGGCGAAGCACCAATTTTTTGATATCCGATTTTTGTGATCTGCCCACATTCAAATCTGGTTGGTGGTTTCAACCCCTCTGAAAAATATGAAAGTCAGTTGGGTTGATTATTCCCAATATATGGGAAAAATGTTCCAAACCACCAACCAGTGTTTGTTGGTTTATAAGCCCCATGAATACGATCAGTATAGTTAAGTATCAATAACCATAGTGAAATTGGAGTTATAGACTAAACAACTCAGCTATCGTTTGGGGGTCCCACTTTGTATGAGTGAAGGATAAACCTTGAATCAAAATCTAAAATGGATCACCCTGGAAGTAAGCAGTGTCCTGGACAAATGAAAATTCACTTCACAATGGAAAGATACTGCTGACGCTTCGACAAATGATCCACGGGTCAGAGACGTTAACAACAACAAAATGCCGGTCCCAATGGACCTAGTGTCTAAAAAACCCACCCAGATCGCAACTTCTTTCCGGGCAAAATGCTGGTTGAAAGTCTGGTTGAAGCATCCCAAATATCCAGTGTTTCCTGGCAACCCCCCAAAATCGAAAAGCTGGAACTTGTGCTTCCGCATCTCCCTGAACCTTCCTCACATTGAAGTCATTGTCGGTCAGGGCCGTAGTCGATGTTATGTCGCTCTTCTTAACATTGGCGTCGGGTTCCTCTGCATCCCCGAGAATGGGGATCAATATGTCCGTCACGCACGACGGCATGTTGACTTTGCATCCCTCGGGAGTGCCCACCAGCTTGTCGAGCTCGCTCTTGGCTTCATCCATCCTTGTGATGATTGTCTTCAGCTTGACCTCCTTGTTGCATCCAGAGGCCGCCCAGCAAACGACTGCAACGTCTCTCAGCGCACATTTGAGAGGGGAGCTGGTGACCTTGCTCTTCAGAGAGAGGGCCCAGATGGCCTTTGCATGAATGGGGGTAGCCTCATCTCTTTCGTATGCGTCGGACAAAGCAGAGTCAGTTCCCATGCTGCTGCACGTCTCCTTTAGGAGGGCCTTGATTTCAGAATTTCTAGATCCGGCTTCGGTTTGCTTGTTGTATCTTCCATCTTAATTTCCTTACCATCTAA